CCAGGAGTTCAAGACCAGCCTGGCCAATACGGCAAAACCCTGTCTCTACAAAAAATACAAAAATTAGGTGGGCGTGGTGGCACACGCCTGTAGTCCCAGTAATCGGGAGGCTGAGGTGGGAGGATTGCTAGAGCATAAGTCGAGGCTGCAGTGAGCTGTGATCGTGTCACTGCACTCCAGCCTGGGAAACAGAGTGAAACCCTGTATGAAAAAATTAAAAAATTGGCCAGGCACAGTGGCTCACACTGTAATCCCAGCACTTTGGGAGGCTGAGGCAGGTGGATCACCTGAGATCAGGAGTTCAAGACCAGCCTGGTCAACATGGTGAAACCCCATCTTTACTAAAACAATCATCTGGGTATGGTGATAAGTGCCTGTAATCCCAGCTACTCAGGAGGCTGAGTTAGGAGAATGACTTCAACCTGGGAGGTGGAGGTTGCAGTGAGCTGAGATTGAGCCACTGTACTCCAGCCTGGGTGACAAGAGTGAAACTTAGCCTCAAAAAAAAAAAAAAAAAAAAATTTAAAACTCAAAAACTAAACCGAATGAAGCCTCACTTCATTACAAACACAGAAGTAACAAATGGAGTACAAGCCCAATAATACACCTGTGTATTTTATGATGGGTGAATCACCACTCGCACATAAGACAGTGATTATTTACCATCACCGTCCTCAGGCTTGGCTAAAATGACCAAACCCTGGAAGAGCTGTTCACATCCCTTCAGCTCAAAAGGAAGTTTCAAAATTTTAATTCCCAGAGCCAGTGATTCAAGTTATTTTTCAAAAAGAAACAGAGGCAATGAAGAAGTATATGAGATTAAGAATTTCTTCTGTGGAAGAGAACAATTTAAAATAATACTAGATCCTAGACTAAAAATGTCTGTAGCTATCTGAATTTGAATATATATATATATATATATATATATATATATATAACCATTTTTCAGCAAAGCAGATTGAGGAATAATATAATATCTTATTCAAAAGCAGACTGCAAGTGGAATGTTGGACCCCAATGCCTGGCACTTCTTATCCAAGTACCCTGGCGTCTCAGAGGACCCAATGCTCTGGGTGCCCTTGGCTGTCTCCTCCTCTGTGGGGGGTAACTGCTTCCTGAGAGCAAACTCTGGAACGTCAACAAGTACGTCCCCAGAGCCGCTCCCAGATGGACCTCTGAGGAATTCCTCCTGACTACAGCAGTTTGCTAGAGTTTCAGAATGTCCCACTAACACCGTTTCCAAAGAACTCTTCATGTTCCACACTAAACTCCTTTTATTGTTCAAGTATGGAATTTCTCTAATATAAACCTTTGTAGGATTTTATCTTTATTTCTCAGAAATGCACCATAGACCCCCTTGTCGCTCCTTAGAAACTAGCCTTGGAGGCTGAGACTCAGGCTCTACAGGTCTGCTCAATGGCGGGGGCACTGTCCCCCTCCAGGTATCACGTGGTACTTTAATTCTTTTAAAGATGCCCCTGGGGGCTGATGCCCAAGCCGGCACTCCTTAAAGAGAAGGCCAGGTAATGATGACCTGTCCCAGAGAGATTCTGGTGCGGCTGCCTGGGGGAGAAAGTTCTCCAGGAAAACAAGCAATTTTCTTGACTAGGTGTTACATTTTGACCTAGTTCCCAGAGGAGTATGCTATGTGAAAGGAGGTTTGCCTCTAGAGCCAACCCTGTGCTGTTCCCAGAGGGAAGCTATGATTATGTACACACATTGGAACGCCCTAACTAATTGACTCTTTCTTAAATAACTGCTGTGTGATGCAGTGGCGCTGTCCTGTGGATACTACTTAATCAGGCTGTGTACTCTTAAATAGCTATGAGTTTATATGAGGCATGTCCTTTACACATGAGCCTGAAACACACGTGGCTAGAAGACAGAAACTCCTCTTGGTCGGTGCTGAGCAGAGGTATGGGGTGGGGGACAGAGGACAAGGGGAAGCCTGGATTCCAGTCCCCTCTCTACCTCTTCCTGATGGCCTCTCCCTGAGTAAGTCACGTCTTTGCTTTCTGCTTTTTCATCTGTAGACTGGCCACAGTATTGTCTGTGTTATCAATCCCGAAAGAATAATGTACATGAAATTATGTAAATGATGACTTGGGACACAGTCGCTGTTATCTTCATCATCATTACTGGAGGGCTATATTAGGGACAGCTTTACAAATTAAATAGGGGGCACTGGGCAGTGAGTCCCAGTCTGAATATCATACTATTCGTCAGCTGGCCTGAGTTCCAAGCCCAGCACTGACCTTATTGGTGGAGTGATCCCCCGCCACCCAGAAATTAAAGTAATATCTTTGTGCCTTGATTCTTCCCCCTACATTGAAGATAACAGTAGCACCATGTCACAGGGGGTTCTGTGAGGATTTAAAGCTAATATACAAGTCTAAAACAGAAGCCGACACACAAATGCCATCTAATTATTATTATTATTATTTTTTGAGATGGAGTTTTGCTCTTGTTGCCCAAGTTGGAGTGCAGTGGCGCGATCTTGGCTCCCTGCAACCTCTACCTCCCAGGTTCAAGTGATTCTCCTGCCTCAGCCGCCTCAGTAGCTGGGATTACACACTCCCTATCATGTCCAGATAATTTTGTATTTTTAGTACAGACGGGGTTTCTTCATGTTGGTCAGGCTGGTCTCGAACTCCCGACCTCAGGTGATCTGCTTGGTTTGGCCTCCCAAAGTGCTGGGATTACAGGAGTGAGCCACCGCACCCAGCCAATGCCATAAAATTATTTGCTATTATTTTTCTGTAGATTATTCTGAATTCAATTGAAACTTGCTTTTATAAGGCATGGATTATTTTCACCAAGTTTTAAATTCTGAGACATGAGCTTTGTCATTCAAAATCGTTCCTAAAAACTTCTTTTCTGTACTCATCTGTCATGTGCTTGGGATTTGAAAAAAAAAAAAAACCAACTTTTTTTTGTTAGGAAAGCAAATCATTTGCCAAAATAAAACAAGCCAATAACCATTCTTCCTGGTTTCTCGCCTGTGAATAAAGACTTCACAAAGTGGGAATCTGAAAAAAGTGGCAGCTTATTTCATTAAACCTTTTTTGGGCAAAAAGAGCCTCAAATAAAGGGCAGTGGCAATGAAACCAGAGGTCCCCAGTGAAACCTTCCACAGAGACAGATTCTGTGCCTTGCACTTTCTGGGGCCTCCCATTCTGGTCCACTTCTCCTCCACCCTGGGCTACTCTGTGCTGAGAGATCCGGAGAGATGACTCTCTGGGGTTCTCCCGCTCAGGGCTCAACTTCACCCACAGGCACTCTGGTATCAAACCAAGGCAGCTCTAGAGTTGAAGAGTAAACTCCTCCTAGAAAAGACAGCCCTGCAGGTTGGAAAAATCACCTGGACAGTGTTCCTATCACCATCAATAATATCATGGAACTTCTCTGGGACTCCATCTAGCACATCATTCACTCCACAGTCCATGTGAATGGTGCCCCTGGAGTTGTGCCACGAGGTGCTTCAGGCTTTGGGAGGACAGCAGTCAGCTGGGAGGATCCGTTCCTATTTTTAAAAACTTCTAGAAAGGAGATGTTGTCTGTCAGCGCTAATCCCACTTCCTCTCCCTGGAGAGGCTCAGAGGACCCTAGCTCTGCGCCTCCTACAACTCACTCCCTCAAATCAGCTACATGAAAGCTAGACCCAGAAAAGAGGGAAACGGAGAGGTGGGAGGGGGATGACAGAAAAGAAAGGGAAAAGCATTACACGAAGGCTAGGGGTAGCAAATAGGAGGGAGGAAGGAAAGCAGATCCAGGGCTGCAGCCAAGGGCACCAGCCCGCCTGTCTTCCCGACCCCCAGCAGCCCTCAGTTTCACTGGGAACTCTAATTAAAGGTTATGGGAGGAGTACAAATAAAACACATCTCCAAGTAAGGTAGAACCTCAGTGATCCCACAACCTTACATCTATAAAAGAATGACCACATAGGCTGGGCGTGGTGGCTCACGCCTGTAATCCCAGCACTTTGGGAGGCTGAGGCGGGTAGATCACCTAAGGTCAGGAGTTTGAGACCAGCCTGGCCAACAAGGAGAAACCCCATCTCTACTAAAAATGCAAATATTAGCTGGCACGTGCCTGTAATACCAGCTACTTGAGAGGCTGAGGCAGGAGAATTGCTTGAACCCGGGAGGTAGAGGTTGCAGTGAGCAGAGATCACACCACTGCACTCCAGCCTGGGAGACAGAGTGAGACTCTATCTCCCACTCAAAAAACCAACCAACCAACCAAACAAACAAACAAAAAAACAAAACCACATAACATAATCAGCTTTTTGTGTTTTTCAGTCTGTTTCCTCAGCCCTGCTCTAATGATTAAGGAAACAACTCACAGCTGGGAGTGAGAAGAAAAAGGGACAGGCAGGGAGGTGAGGGGACCTGTCCCAGAGTCAGCAGATGAAACCCGAGTGTCAGGTGAAGCCTAAGGTCCTCTGGGCGAAGCTCTCTGACTGCAGAGGCCCAGTGCACCATGCCTGAGAGGAGGCTGTCTGGCCAGCGCTTAACACAGCTGCTAACAGGGAGCTCACTGCCTCACGAGGTAACCTAATCCATTTCTGTGCAGCTCAAATTATTAGAAATTTGTTCCTTATATTGTATAGCCTTTTTATTTTTTTAACTTTTTAAATATTTTGCAGAGACAGGGTCTCACTTTGTTGCCCAAGCTGGTCTCAAACTCCTGGCTTCAAACAATCCTCTTGTCCTGGCCTCCCAAAGTGCTGGATTGCTGGCCTGAGCCATGCGCCTGGCCCTGTGCGGCCTTATTGTCCAATCCTGGGCCTTAGCTCTGTCCTCCCAAGTTACCCAGAATAGGCATAAATGATCATTTCCTATGATAGTCTTTCAAATATCTTTATACGATGAACATATTTTCTATGACTTCTAGAGCAGACACTCTATTCTGTGCTTGAACCTTCATATGTAACTGCCAGTAATTCAAAGAAAACGTTTAAACAGCCTGACCAAAGATGGCAGCTTGCTGGTCCTTACCGATTCAGGAAAGCATTTCCAAAGCGACTGAGTTTTCTAAATGGCTTTTTGGGGTCCACGACTAAAGCATTCCCTGGGGTGCTGCCCTCATTCTCTCCATACATCACGGCGATGAAGGAGTCAGTGGTGGGCTCCGGGCCAATCCTCATGCCTGGGAAATCCTGCTCCAGTAGGTATCTGGGAGAGGGAAGAAGAAGAGAAAGCTTAGCATCTTGGCAGAGGCCAGAAAGCTGCCTGGGATTACCAATGTTTTACACAATCATTTAAAAACGTAGAAACATAAGCCCCAAGAAAAGTACAGCAATCCTCGTTTGCATTTCTGTTGATGCAACAGACGCTACCCCAAGAGTAGCGTATGGCGCAAGCCCTGTGCCTCCTGGAAGCTCTGCTCAGGCTCAGCCCCGTTAGGGGAGCCTCCCTGACCTGCATGTGGGGATGCCTCTTCTGTGGTCCCTGGGCACCCCGTGGCTGCTGCCAGCATGGTGCTCGCCAAGTGTGCTGCAATTGCTTGTTTATGGGCCCTGCAAGGTGTCTGAGGTGATGAGGGTAGAGCCATGTCCCAACCATGCCTGGAAGGTGACCTTTGCCTTAAAAGCCTTGAAGGGGCTTAAGGCAAAAACCCGCACGGCTTTCTGTAGCTCTCCACTCCCGCAACTAACAATCTGTTTGGTCCCACACTATTGTTTCTAAAAAGTGCTGACCCATCCAATGTAAGCCCACAATCTGTGACTATTTCCAGGGATAGACAGAAAGCACCAAAAGCTTCTTCTCTGTGCTAGCTATTAGAAAAAAATGAATTTTTAAAAAAAGTGCCAAATGCTATCAAATGCCAAACACATTTTTTCCATCTTGATAAGAATGATAAATTAAGCCACCACTTAGATCTATGTTTTCCATGTAAACAAAACTGATTTTTTTTTTTTTTTTTTTAAGACAGGGTCTTGCTCTGTTGCCCAGGCTGGCATGCAGTGGTACAATCTGGGCTCAAACAATCATCCTATCTCAGCCTCCCAAATAGCTGGGACTACAGGCACACACCACCACGCCTGGCTAATTTTTTGTAGAAATAGGGTTTCACATGTTGCCCAGGCTGGTCTTGAATGCCTGGCCCCAAGCCATCCACTCACTTTGGCCTCCCAAAGAGCTGGGATTACAGGCATGAACCACCACACCTGGCCTAAAACTGAAATTGTTTAGCAATCTTAATGGGCTATATTCTAAACCTTTAATTGATGTCATTGCTAGTTTTAACTTCATCCAAAGTTTCTACGTTTCTGTGAAGTTGCGGCATCCCAGAATAGATACACCATTAAAAGATGTCTTCTAAATTTAGAGTAACTCTATCTGATGATATCTTTTATCTCTAAATTTAGAGAAAAAAATATCTGCTAATAGCATGCAGCATTTGCTGAGTGTTTGCTATATTCCTGGTATGGCACCGAGCCTTCTATATTGTTTCACTTCATGCTCTGAGGTGGATGATGACATTATCTTCATTTTATTTACAGATGGGAAAACTGAGGCATCAGAGAGGCCAAGCGGCTTGCCCCAGGTCACACAGTGGACGTTCGAGTGGAAATGGAACGCAAACAGTCGGATTCCAGAACTTGCACCATCTTTAGAAATGGCCTTGAGCTAGTGGTTTACTTGGGGTGAAGAGCAAAGCAAAGTTCAGGGGATCATTCCAAGGTGTGGCAGCGGGCATGAGGCACGAGGACCCCGCTTGCTCTCACCTGAGGGGAAGAGCTCTCCACATTAGCTCCCTGAAGTCCTCTGGCCACCCTGATGATAAGGGCCAGCTCTCCCCACTCTCCCTGGAGGAAAGTTGGGCTCAGGAGGTGCTACTGTTTCAAAATGTGTTCAGATTTAATTTTTTAAATCTTCAAAAGTTTCTCAATCAAAACCTTTGTGTCAGCTGGGCACGGTGGCTCAAGCAGGTAATCCTAGCACTTTGGGAGGCCAAGGCTGAAGTTAGGAGTTCGAGATCAACCTGGCCAACATGGTGAAATCCTGTCTCTACTAGAAATACAAAAAATTAGCTGGCTGTGGTGGCGCACGCCTGTAATCCAAGCTACTCTGGAGGCTGAGGCAGGAGAATTGCTTGAACCCAGCAAGCAGAGGTTGTGGTGAGTGGAAATCACCCTACTGCACTCCAACCTGGGCTCCGTCTCAAAAACAAACAAACAAACAAAAACAAACCTTTTTGTCCCTAATAGACTAGAAATGTTCATGTTGATCAGTTCTTATACATTCCACATGAATCTGAGAAATACTGGTAAAAGCTACTGGGAGGGCATGGCCTCCTCTGTGACACTCCAGCCTCTGTGGAGTGTATCTAGAGCATGTGGACTCCATATACCCACATGAATGTGGAATTCAGGTTTTACATCTCCGCTGGGATCTCAAGTGTGTAGTCATTCAGCACCGAGGCTGGAATTCAAAGCCAGATCACACACTTGCCTCCCCTCACCGTCCAGTCTGATTTTTACGCCCTGTGGCCTGGAGGAGGCTACGCCTGGAGGCTGCAGGAGACACTGAAGGAGGGAAGGGAGCCTGCTAGGGAGAGGGGCTCGGGAGAACAGCAGCCAGTGTCACCAGCTCCCTGCACACGTGGTTCTCCATTCACAAAAATGTGAGGTGCAGGAGTGGGTTTGAAGCTTGACAGGCACTTTTCTACAGAATCAGCGCTAACAGCAGTGGTGGGCTGGCCGAGACGGCCTACAAAAGGGTCACGTTCACTGATAAAAGCAACATATCAGATGAGAACTGCAGCATGTCCTCTTGGGGGAAGAGTTCCGTGTGGAGCTCCACCTTGTGTGGCTCGTGGCAACATGCCCCTTCTTGGTACCTTCACCAAGCCTGGCCAGGAGGAGGCCCTCCAGACTCCAGACAGGGAGGTGAGCACACGGACAATCGCTCCCACGGCACAGCTGCTGAAGTCAGCCATCACGGTCGAGGAGTGCCTCAATTACTTTCTGATGTTTCGTTTCTATACAAGTACAGGAAATCCCACTACTTTTGAAATAACAGAGGTTTCAAGGAAAAATAGAAATGAAAAAATTGTTTAAAGAAGAGCAGATGTTTCCTACTTCCAAGTTTATATTGTAAAAGAAGCTAGTTTCCTAAGTAGCAACCCTACCAGACAGAACTTTAACAAATTATTTTTTGCATTATCAATTTGTTTAGTAATACTTTGGTAATACAAAGTTAACACTCAGTGTTCAACTTCACTATCAAAGACATACCAGTAATGACACTGCATATTAACAAATTTTTAAAAACTCAGAATCATCAATGCTGGCAAGGGTCCTGTGAAATAAACACCCTTATGTATGTTGGTGGGAGAATAAGCTGCTCTAACTTCACTAAAAAGCAATTTGACGGGCCAGGTACAGTGGCTCACGCCTGTAATCCCAGGACTTTGGAAGGTGAGGCAGGTGGATCACGAGGTCAGGAGTTCAAGACCAGCCTGGCCAAGATGGTGAAACCCCATCTCTACTAAAAATACAAAAATTAGCAGGGGGTGGTGGCAGGTACCTGTAATCCCAGCTACTTGGGAGGCTGAAGCAGAGAACTGCTTAAACCTGGGAGGCAGAGGTTGCAGTGAACCGAGATCCTGCCACTGCACTACAGCCTGGGTGACAAAGCAAGACTCCACCTCAAAAAAAAAAAAAAAAAAAGCAATTTGGCACCATGTGTTAGAAGCCTTTAAAATGAGGGTCTTGCTGGGAGTGGTGGCTCATGCCTATAATCCCAGCTTGAGAGGTCGCAGTGTGAGGAGTTTGAGACTAGCCTGGGCAACATGAAGAAACCCCATCTCTACAAAAAAAATACAAAAATTAGCCAGGTGTGGTGGTGTACACCTATAGTCCCAACTACTTAAGATGCTGAGGTGGGAGGATCGCTCAAGCTCAGGGAGGTTGAGGCTGCAATGAGCTGTGATCATGTCACTGCACTACTGCCTGGGTGACAGAGTGAAACCCTGTCTCTAAATAAATAAATAAATAAATAACAATCTAAAATTGGGGTCTTGCAGAGCTTGACCTCTAACAGGTCATGCTGGTGTTATTTGAAGCCATTTCCTCTCCTCTCTTGGGTGGTTATTTCCTGCAGGACATGGTCTATATACTCAGTACTAGAACTTGGCAGTCTGGCAGGAATGACTTGATTCAGCCTCTTATTTTTACAAGTGACAAGACTGAAGGTTAACGCAGGAACGTGGCTTGTTGCTGGTTGAACTCACGAGTAATCACACAGGGTGGCCACACAGGACCCAGAACCTGCAGCCCCTTTCTCCTGGCCCCAGGCTTCTGCTCTTACACCAGGCACAGCACCATCACTGTGGGGTCCCACATTGCCCCCAGCTCCCTGGTGCTCTAAGCAGGGCCTGGCAGACCCCTGAGTTGGCATAAGACACTCTAAGCTATTGTCCTGAAGACATTTTTCATCGGGGGATTGCTGAAACTCAGACGCATTTATGTTGCACTGCTGGGTAGGCAGGTACGTGTCAGTGCAGTGAGGGAACTTGGAACAACCAAGACACCAAGTGCCTGACATGGAAAGAGGGAGAATGAAGTGATGGATCCACTCACAAGAGAGCTGGAAGGGAAGAATCGGAGCTGATGCTGAGGTGCAATGCGCACAAATGGGTCAATCACATAGCCGCACGGGACAGGCTGATCAACTGTGTTAGAATTTCTCGGGGGAGTGCCTCAGAGGCCTTCCCAGAGCAATGAGGTTCAGGGACTCCAGTGTTATCTGCAGCAACAACAATTCAAGGAACAAGAGGACACAGGAAGACCACCGTGATTCAGAGCTGATTAGCCGCTCCACAGGCATCCTGTGCTTTGGAGACTTGATTTTTGTCCTTGGCTCCACTTTGCTCCCCTTTTCCTGTGTTCTGGGAGGGGCCTGCCAATTCCAGCAATGATGGCTCCAAGGTTCTCGAGCCAAGTCATCCACATAAAAAGGTACAGACATTTGGATTCCAAGCTGCTGGGCGGAAGGGATGGTGGGGTGGACAGGAGACCTGACATCCCCTTGTCCCGGTCCGATGAGGTCCCCAGTTCACTCATCCGAGTGGCTTTAGGGCACGCTGGCTGCCAGCGCTTCAGCCTAAGCTCACAGAGCTACTTTGACGCAAGAGTATATATGGGTGGTGTCTTTGTTTTTTCTAT